TAATGTATAATATTCATTACCAGGTGTGACAGACCAGTTGCTCTCTATAAGTAGACAATTAGCAGACACAACACAAAGGAGTCAGGTTACTCTCGACAGCTTAGTGTCATCTAGTAGCACTGTGCATGTGAGTATAAAAGATTTTTTATGTTGTTATTATATCTGTATTTATTAGTGTGATAATATGAAGCTTGGTCTCTTTTTGATTATTTCCTTATGTGATAACTATGGTGACAAGAGTTTGTGTAATCACAGAGACATTTGTTCAAACTTATCCATACACCAGATAATTATCATGCGATCACAAGTACATTTCCGAACTTTGAATTCATTAATTACCGATTTTACACAAATATTAAATATTTTATAACTCAGTAGAGGAATTCAAGTTTTAATAAAGTTTATGGTCTAAAAATAACTATAAGCACTATTTTATAATAAGTTTTATTCTTCTTATTATTTAGTTATAATTTTAAATAATAAGTTAGTGATTAAAACTACTTTACGGATTTTATCGCGTTTATTTTTACTTTTTATTTACTTTTATTTTTAATTCCCGACGTTTCGGGCGCTTTCCAGCACCCATGGTCACGGGGGACTGAGTTGTAAAGTAGTTTTAATCATGTATAGTGTTCGCGTAAATATAAGAAATCAATAAGTTAGTGGTTATATATTGCCAATGATGAACTAATGTACGTGTTTTTCATAAAACTAAAGTATCAAACAAAAAAAAAAACGGCCCACCTGACGGTAAGCTGCAGTCGACTGGAACGCCTTACAACATGGAATTATATTGACTTTCCATACCTCTCTGACACAGAAGTGCAAGTACTGCTATTGACATCAGAAATAGGTAAGGAGATGGTACCTATCCAGACAGACTTCTAAGCAGTCCACATGGTAGATACCTACTAATGTTATACTGCCGGCCATATGAGGAAGATTAAGGTCTTTCGGAGAGTAAGAGAAGGTCGTACTATGCTCGGAGTTTCTTTGAGTGATGACCTTCGTTATTAGAATATTCGCAGTAGAACCAGAGTAACCAATGGTCGAAGAACCGCAATAGATGGGGAAGGAAAGTTCGTGAGTGGCTGCCTTACACTGGCGAGCGAAGTGTAGAGCTGTTCCTAGATTAAGTGACGACCTGATAAGGCATGCAGGAGGTCGATGGATGCAGGTGGCTCGGGACCGTGATTGTGACGTTCCTTGAGGAAGACTTATGTTCAGCAGTGGACTTGTGAAAGGCTGTGATGATGATAATGATGATGAATAAGTTTTAATAAAGTGATAGATTGCTATACCTAAATGTTACAGACTAATAAAGGAAAGGTGAATTACCAGTTACCACTGTAAGAATGTTGGCACTGCTCTCACCAATATGCCTGTCCATAATACGAGTTATCTTTACCAGTTGGTGCATTATTGTAATGGTTTTTGTTGATTAAAGTATGAAGACTTAATGGCTAGCGACTGGCTGTAGACGACGATGATAATATTTTTTTTACGTGGTAGAGTCATATTGCAGTTATATTAGTAGTATAGTTGCAACGTGGCTCCATCACGCAGTTGTATAGATGTAGCACGAATGGGACAGATCGACCGGGGAATGACCACGCCCTCACAGAATACCAGCGTAAAATAGCAGCTTAATGTTGTTGTTCTTCGTATTATATACTTTTTACTGGATCTTTGTCCTCACTGGTGACAACGCATCTCCATTTTGAATCGTAATCGAATGTAGATAAAGATGTCTATAGACGACAGCAACCATTTACCATCAGGTAGACCGTGTGCTCGTTTGTCACCCTTATCCTATAAAAAATCTTGACATTCAGTTATAGAATATTTGCATTGCAATATATTGGCTGGAAGTGAATAAAGATTATATAATTATTGCCAAATATTTAAAGAATATATATATTTAATTTAGGTAAGTGTGACAAACGTGTAAAAATGCGTTTGACGGTATGTAACCAGACCCCTATTGATTACTTGAATCAAAATGCAATTCTAATGTCACCCTTGAGGACTGAGACAGAATGCCTCTTATCAGTGTAAAGGTCTCCGGTGCTCGTCATTTTCCAAACGAAATGAAGTAATAAATTGCTGCTATTTTACGCTGATGATTCTACGTCAGTGGTTCTTCTACGGAACCAGCTCATTCGTACTACAGCAATTATAATAAAGTTGCATCTTGGCTCAACCATATACGAGTACAAATATTTAAACTTTACATAGGATGAAATTGAAACACTAACTTTATATCGTTTTTGTATATTTTTTACTTATGTAATACTTTTTTAATTTAGGTTATTTTCTAGATCTAGATCGAGAGTATTTGATGGTCGTGATTCGATGAGATTACTCACAAAAATAGACTAATCGTGATTGACTAATAATAGTTAGGTTTTACTATTATTAAAGAAATTGTTGATTTTGTTGCAGGGAACTCAATCGGAACTAGAAAATACGGCCGGTACGATTTCTCAATCAAGTAAACTCTTAAAAAAATATGGCAGGCGAGAGTTTACAGATAAAGTGATAATGTTTTTCGCGTTCCTCTTTTTCTTGGCGGTGTGTTTGTACATTGTTCAAAAGAGATTATTCTAATTCGTTTTTATGTATATAATAGTAAATTATTTAATGAAATAATGTACTCATTATTATATGGTAAGAATATTTTATTTTAATTGGTATTAAACTATTAAGTAAGTAAAATTGTCTTTTTGTTTTATTGTCTTGTCGATTGAGAGAATTGAAATTGTGTAATGTTTTAGAAAGACTTAACGCCGCGTATTGGATATTTTGGATTACGCAAAAACCATGCTGAACTTGATACGCACTCATGCACACATCTTTCTTCTTTCCTTCTTTAACAGCCCGCAAATGTTTACTGCTGGACGCACATATTTTTAAAGCAAGGGGGGGAACGAGCATACGGCTCACCTGATGGTAAGTGATTACCGCCGCCCATGAATAACTGCAACACCAGGGGAATGGCAGATGCGTTGCCGGCCTTTTAAAAGAAAAAGGCTCTTTTCTTGAAGGAATGTAGAAAAAAGATTCTCGATTAGCAGCCTCATATCGCTAATTTAAGTGTAGAACGGCTACCAATTGGATGGTCTGATGGTCTGGTAACAGATGCTAAAAGTCAATTGAGGAGGCCAGGGCTGAGCTTTGCCGCATTCCTTGAGCTGTAGACTTCTGATAGTCTGTAATGAATAAAAAAAATAAAACCCTTGAAGGTCCGGAAAAATCTCTGGTGGTAGTTGATTCCACAACGAAGTTGTGCGAGGAAGAAAACTTCTTTTAAATCCCACAGTGGTGGACCGCCAGTCATCCAGATGGTATGAATGGTATCGTGAGTTTTGTCGCGATGTGCGATGGTGAAAATGTGCGGTTGGAATTAGTCCGAACAATTCCTTAGAGCACTCCCCGTGGCAAATGCGATAAAATACGTTAAGAGATACAACATCTCTTCGCAGTGACAGTGAGTCAAGCCGATCGCAAAGAGCTCGGTCGCTGACGATTCTAACGGCTCTGCGCTGGATGTGATCAAATGGAAGGAACTGGTACTGGGGAGCCCCAGCCCAGAGATGAGAACAGTATTCAATGCGCAGCCGAACCTGCGCCTTGTAAAGTTGCAGGCGATGTGTCGGCATGAAATAAAATTGTTTGTTGACATGACATGATATAGATGACTCGTTCTTAAAATAATTTGTGTATGGTTTTGGATTTTGCGTCACTTGTAATATACTGAGCGCTCCAGCTTTCATTCTTTTCACTGACTTCAAAAAGGAGAAAACGTTCCCTTTTGAAGTCAATTCATCAAAAGAAAACAGCAATTCGAGTGTGTGCTTTTTTCGTTTGTATGTTACGCGATATTTCCGCAGATTGCGAACTAATTTTGATGGTTTTGTTTATTAAATGGGTTATACGTCAAGGGTGGTCCTATGAAAATTTGGAGAAAAAATTCTACCTCTAAGGGTAGCAATAGAAAACTTTTTTTTTTAGAAATTTGAAGTTAGTTTTTACTTTATGTTAAAAGTTATAATTATTTTGGTTAGAGGTTTAGCCTTATAATTTGCTGGGGCGCAGAGTGGCATAGCCCAGGAACTTTCTTATCCCTGACTTCTTTACAATTTTTTTATTTTTTTTTCTCTGATATTAACTGTCCCATTTCATTTTTATGTCTTTAGTTCATTTCATTTTCTAAAGTGAACATTCGATCATAGTTTCTTAGGTACGCAGGTACGTAATAAACGCATTCCCAAACTGAATTGAAAAAAAATACGGTTGACCCTACAGGCCATCCCTGGAACTTCCCGCTAATGTCAAACGCAAAGCGCTCCAAATTCCACTTATGACATTTACGTAAAAACGTCTGATTTTGAGAAACACGCGCACGCGCGCACACACATCGACAAGTGTCATCCTCGTAGAAATAGTCTGAACTGCTTCCTAGGATCTCAAAATACTCAAAATTTGGAGATCTGATGAGAACTCCATTTTTGAAAATCGGTGTGAAACCAAAATAACTTCCCGATTTTTTGACAATCATTGATTTTTAAAGCGCGGAGTTAAACAAGAAAAGAACTTGTAAAATGGTACCTATCGTTAATCTCCAAACTAGTTATAATTTGTGAAATAAATATACCAATTAATTAAAGCACTTTAACCTAATGTGTTTAGTGATAATGATTGTTTTGTCGATCAAACGAAACACAGTTAATAAATTAAGTGTACTAACCGTGGATGTCGTTAGTCAGGCGGAGATACTTAGCAGAAAAAGTTTGATCGTTTCGCGGGCCGGTTTTCAAACGCTACCTCGACATGACTCGACTAAACTCAATCATATTATTTGCATTTTTAATAGCATTTTTTCAATATGTAGCCGCTTATAACATTTTGGTTATCGTTTCTCTACCCCTAAAAGCCATTATATGGCCTTTCAAAGGCTTTTCCGCGAATTAGCCATCAGGGGACACTCTGTGACGGTCATGAACAACTTTCCTGAGCTAGAACCCGTGCCAAACTTGAAGTTTATTGACCTAGAAGCTCAAAAATGGTACAAACATGTCTTTTCACCCCTATCGTTTTACGAAATTATGGATTCAAGGTATTTACATCTGACTAACCTACATGGTGAAGTTTATATACTACCAGACATTGCGAAATCCGATTGCGAAAATCTATTCAAGAATGAAAACGCTAAAGCAAATTTAGAAAAAGGAAATAAATACGACGTGATTTTTGTGGAACAGTTTAGTAGTGATTGTGGCCTGGCGTATGCAGCAGTTTTGTACGACGCACCAATAATAGGAATAACTTCACATGTGCTGCTTCCTTGGGCTTATCCTAGGCTTGGGTTGCCGTTCGATTTTTCCTCAGATGCGTACTATTTTTCTAAATCAGGTCCTAACCCTGGATTGTATCATAAAGTGGAGGCAGTATTAATGGATTTGTACTTTACCTATGGAAAGTGGCTAATTCATAGAAATATTTATAATGTGTTTGAACGTTATTTACCAAGCGTTACTTTTGACATAGAAAAAGTTGCTCGCGAAAAGATGAAGATGGTGTTTTCTTATCAGCATTTGTCAGTAACCGGCGCCCGCCCTTCTGCACCACCACTGCTGGAGATTGGTGGAATTCATATCGGTGAACCAAAACCTGTACCAAAGGTGTGTTGTAAATTCAGTAAACTTTTAGTCATTATAAATGTGTCTAGGTTACACAAAAAGAAAAGTGCACAATTTTGTCGATGGCTAAATCTTCATGGTTAGCTTCATACAAAAAGACGTTTGATAAAACTAACATTACTTTTAACAAGATAAAAACATGTTCCTATAACATTTCACAAAATAAATAACTTTATATATTGTAAATTGGCACGCAACTGCGTTATTTTAGAAGAGTGAACATAAGTAAGAATATTCTATCCGAAAACTATTTTTTTTGATTTTTTTAAACTTTTGTGAGATGTTTCCCCCTAATCATATCCATCCACCACTTTTTAACCTTTGGCTTTAAGTTTAATAGAAAGGCGTTGTAAGAGGCTTATTGGTGAGTTTATTTTTAATTTGTTTTTAGCATTGGGTGACTAACGAGCAAAAATCCACCTGATGGTAAGTGGATACTGTGGCCGCTAGACATCCACATTTATCCTCAATTTAGAATCAAAACCTATTTGCGTTTTCACCCCTGAGGACTAAGATGGAACGCCTCGATTCCAGTAAAAAAGGGTCTCCGGTTGTCTACACTCACTATACGAAACACAGCAGCATTGGGAAACACAGCAGCGCTGCTATTTTACGCTGGTATTCTGTAAGAGCGTGGTCCTGACCAGGTCGAGCCGACCCATTCGTGCTACAACTATAATATAACTGCAGCGTGGCTCTACCACGTAAAAAAGTTTTTTTTATAAGTTGATATCAGGCAGATGCTGCCTATCTCCTGTTTCGGTACCCTCTGTCGCCTCATACGCAACCTTACAGTATGGCGTAGTGGATATTCTTACACCACTACTGCTTAAGTTCATGAATACTTGCAGCCAACTTCAAAGGCTACATATACGTTGACACCACCGACAACTAAGATGGAATGAAAAATTGACTTATTATCTAAACCTACTACTATTATACTAACCTACATGTAAGGTTAGGTATTTCTGGATTATTATTTGGTTAAATGCAAATTTTATAACCCTAGAACACGGCTCTTTCAAGGACTGCTTTTCTGTCTAGGAATCCCTCTTACCTCTCTTAACCGTCAAATAGCAATGCTCGCACTGCTGTGTACTGGTCCGAAGGTCAAAGAGAACCAGTATAGCTGCAGGCAGTGAGGCATTCCATCTTAGTTCTCTAGGCTGCAAGTATTCATGGACTGAAGCAGTAGTGGTGTAAGAATATCCACTACGCCGAATATATATTAAAAAATTAAAATTATATCAAATTAATATATTCATTAAAGTTACCATAACCTTCTTTTAAATTATTTTTTGTTAATTACTATTTAATATAAATAGAAATAATGTTAATTAAATCATTATTACTGTTACTATTACCGCTACAACTTATTAAAGTCCACTGCTGATCACATACCTTTGAAAAGACAGTAAAAGACAGCTAATATAGGCCTATATTTCAGGTTTCTACGTTAGCGGTTTTTGCTGTGCCGCTGTACGTTGATAGACGAGTCAGTCAAAAAAAAAAAAATATATATATATATATATATATATATATATATATACTATATATACTATTTATTATTAATATATTTATAAATAGAAACAATGTTAATTAAATCAATATTACTGTTACCGTTACCGCTACAACCTGTTAAAGTCCACTGCTGAGGCCCTCCGCCATAGATTGCCCCATAGGCAGATATTTGTCATAGTTGCCACATTAAGCAACTGGGTTGGCAACCGCAGTTTTTTATTTGAGTCGTTATTAGGAAGACGTTGCTACGCATTTGTTTCTCTCTATCGTCTCTTCTCTTCCGACACCCACGCGATGATAAGGGGTAGTGAATATCCTTACACCGCCACTACACTGTAAATCATTATTGTTTGCATTAATTATAAACTTGAAAGGTATTTCGGGTTTGTTTGCGCTTATTATAAAATTATCAAATGTTACAAATATGAATTGCATTAATTTCAGGACATTGAAGACTTCCTAGCCAATGCAACCAATGGAGCCATTTACGTTAGTTTTGGTTCGAATCTTATAGTTAGCTCAATGACGCCGGAGAAATTGCAGCAATTCCTGCAGGCTTTTAAAATGATACCTCAGAAAGTGCTGATGAAATTGGAAAACACTAGCCTTCCAGCTGGCAATGATAATATCTATGCGAGCAGCTGGCTACCTCAGTTCGAGATTTTATGTAAGTATTAAATTCTTAGACTACTAAGAGAAGGTAGTCACCCAGCCATTACTACAAATCCTATATTTATGGACTAAAATTACTTAAATTCACATTTTGTATTCGGTTAACCCATAGGCATTGTAATTTTGGTCGTGTCCAAAAGGCCAAACATTCTATGATTTTTGACAGAACACCAGATAAGCCTCAAGAGAGTTTAAGGAATATTTTACGAGTATAGATTTCATTGAAACAAAGCAAAACTGCAGAAGGTATAAGTGACATGATTGCAAGCAAACTTAAGGCTAACGGGCTCGATATCAAAAATTGTAAAGGATAAGTTTACGATAACGCTGCTACGATGGCTGAATGCCACACAGGTGTGCAGCACGGATAAAGGATATATATTCCTGTGCCGAATTAGTCCTTGCTCAAACCATTAACTAAACCTATTTCAACTACGTGCAGCTGCACTGGAGGTAAGTTCGGTGATTTCTTTGGCACGTTAGAACGCTGTTACAATTTTCTACGCACCAGTGGGAAGTTATTCTTGCAGCAGCTAGCTGTCAGGTAAAAGTTTAAAAATAGGTCAGGGCACATGTTGGAGCGCTAGAGGTGATGCTGTAAATTCCATTAGATATCATTACATAGAAACTTTGACTGTACTGGAAAAATTTACGTAACCGAATGAAAGCTTATTTATATGTATTATGTATCAAAGTCATCCAAAAGTGCTGGCCTTCGTTTCCCACGGTGGCATGTTAAGTTTGTCGGAGGCGGCTCATTGCGGGAAACCCTTGCTCGCAATGCCATTTTTTGGAGACCAGTTCTCCAACTCAGCTGTCATTCACGCATCTGGGCTTGGAAGTACGGTGTCCTTCGGTTATCTTAATGCCAATAACTTAGCTGAAGAAATTCGAAAATTGACGACGTTAGAGTGAGTAAAATTCATAATTATGAATGTAGGTGCATAGGTGTTATAAAATTATTATTATTATAACATAAAAGATTAGTTCTCCATTACAATCTGCCTAATCCAGGCGTAAATTTTAAATAAACGTTTATTACACTATTTTTAATTATTTTACATTTACTTAAATTTGATGAATGTTAGTTAATTTGTCATAATTCAAGATATTGCGCCCCATGCAGATTGAGGCATATGGTTTCTTAATTACCAGATTAATTTAAACTATAAGAGATATATTTAAACTATACATAACATATATGAGTAATTTGTATTTGTGTTGTTGTCTGTTCAGAATGCAGGAAAACGCCAGGAAAGTTTCTAAATTATGGCACGACCGACCGCAGCCAGTTATAGAGAGCGCCATCTATTGGACGGAGTATGTAGCTCGACATCGTGATGCCCCTTCGTCTCTACCATCTAAAGGGAAAACGTTTTTTGAGAAAATGCTACTAGATGTCTGGGCTATGTTAATCACTATTTTATTTGTTATTGGTTTAATATGTTATTTTATTTTTAAATTATTAAAGCAAACTCTAGTAAAATTGTTACAGAATTTTAGAATAAAAGTTAAAAACGAGTAAAAGGTAAAAGAGTGTGTAATACATTTTTAAGTCAAGTCGATAATTTAAAATGACGAAAGGAGTTGTTTTAAAGTACTATAATTTAGTTATTTCTACTGAGTATTTTTAATCGTATCATGTGTGGAATTAATGAACATACACCCTATGAATAAATATATATTTTAATAACTCTAGACCTTTAGGAACTTTTTACTCAAAAACATTTAACCAGGTATATATATATATATATATATATATATATATATATATATATATATATATATATATATATATATATATATATTATGAATTAAAAGAAAACTACCACTATCTCAAAAACTATAAGTACCTACCTACCTCAACAGTGAACCGACAAGAACAGAAGTAACTTTTCACCTTCTTTTTATTTATTTTTATGTAATATCCTAAATTAAAGTTAACTAAAGACAAAGTATATTTATAGATTAGCCAAAATTAATTTCAAACAAGATTGCAATTCCCTAGTCTAGTCTTTCTAAAAAGAGCTTGCTTCACCATTTGTTCAAATTAACCTTTAGTAAGCTTAACATACGTATACTTCTAAACTTGAAGTACTTGTGAAGGACCATATAACTCGAAGAACCGACAACCGATGGTTATGTGTAACCCTTTACACCCGATGGTTTTTATTTTCAAAATTTTCTACGTCATGTTTTTATAGCATTCTATAAAGCCTTAGGTGCTAAGAAAAAATTCTAGAAAAAATCTCAGGTTTATAGGCAACCCAGGAGTTAACACTCACGATCGTGAGTTTCAGGTACAACTTGACTACTCACGATCGTGAGGGTAATTTAAATTGAACGTTTATCTTGATAGTTGGATGAAAAAAAAACCTAATGTTTACTTGTTTACGAGCTTAGTACTTTAATCAGTCATTCTAGTATCAGTCCACATTATAAAACTTACTACCTAATCCTTAATTCTTAAAAAATCAACATTGGTAACAAAGACCATAATTTTTCTTCATAAATTGGCACTTTCGAAATATTTTCAGATACACAGAAATAAACATGTCGGTGTATTGTCAACCTATGTTAAATTTTTATTAGTTATCATGGTTATATTCTAGCGTCAGATTTTATAAAACTAGTTAGGCTGGCAACATCAGTTCAAAATGCGTATCAATAAATACGTATCAAAAATAGTTTGTTAGTCTCTGCCTACCTCTAGGTGATAGGTGTAAATGTTTATGAAATAAAATTATGTTATTTTTCCTAAATTTTAGGGTTCCGTACTCGAAGGATAACCGACGGGACCCTATAACTAAGCCTCCGCTGTCCATCCGTCCGTCCGTCTGTCTGTCAGCAGACCGTGTCTCATGATCCGTAATAGGTAGACAGTTAAAAATTTCACAGAATATGTATTTCTGTTGCCGCTATAACAAAAATAATAAAAATAAAAATAAATTAAAAATAAAAACGGCTCCCTACCAGAAACATGTGTGATGGTACGGAACCCTTCATGCGCGAGTCCGACTCGCACTTGGCTGGTTATTTTTGTTTTTTCATTAAACAAAAACGTTTAAAAACGGAAATAAATGTCAAGACATTTGAGTATCGCAATTAGTACCTGTTAAGCATTAGAATATTATCGCTTCCTCTTCGTTTTCTCTATAACTGTAGATATTTTTTTGTAATTTAAGATTGCCTATTAATTTTCTTTCCCAGCAACCAATATAAAGCCCATAGATAATTTATTGTGTTAATAGCAAGCGAACAGTAACAATATATCTAGTTCGTAAAACCAGTAATTGGTGTTTTGCATAAATGTTCCAAATTGTATTTCTACCTTATAGCTGTTATTTATTCTGTGCTGGTAGGTGTGTGTAGTCGGTCAAAAAAAAGTCCAAAATTTTCGGACTGTGACTATGTGGCGGGTATTTACAGAAAAACTTGAGTTTAAAATAAAATTTTAGAATGTCAAAGTTTGTGTAAGATAATATTGTCTAGACGCGTCAGTGCTTGAAGTTATGTAACTCAAAGATATAAAGATCATTAGCTAGTTTCGACCTTGAGGTTTGTTAAAGAGGCATAGCAATGCAGGGGTAGCATTTCGAACGGATATCCTAGGATCTCTCTACTATGTTGGTGGTTATTATGGTGTGGTTTACCCGATAATAATCAAGTATACCCTAGCCCAGGGCTCCACTAAATGTGCGTCGCGACGCCCTGGGGCGTCGCGGTAATATCCAAGGGGCGTCGTGAGATGATCTATAGACGGCTGTGTCGTTGCGACCGGTTTGAATGAGCGCTGCGCGAATGTTCTGCCTCTGTCGTACTGTAGTAGAGTCGCGGGCGGCCTCCGTCGACCTCTCCGCGCGTTTCCCTTTCCCCCGCGTATTCATATCGTTTTAGTCATTCAAGTGTTCAAGAGCATCAGATCTTTTTTTTATAGAAGAAGGGGCAAAAGAGCATACGGTTTGCCTGATGTTAAGTGACTACCGCCACCCATGAACAACCTCAACACCAGGGAAATTGCAGGTGCGTTGCTGGCCCTTTAGAAAGGAGTAAGTTTCTTGTCTTGAAGGTCCCTAGGTCGTATCGGTCCGGAAAAATTGCCGGTGATAAATTATTCCACAGCGAGGTCGTACGCAGAAGAAAACTCCTAGTGAAACGTACAGTGGTGGACCGCCAAGCATCCAGATGGTGTGGATGGTATCGGGGGTGGCGGTAGGTTTGCCGCGTAGTGGGTTCGTGAAATTTGCGGCTGGGATTAATCCGAATAATTCCTCAGAGCACTTCCTATGGTATATGCAAAGAAAACGCAAAGAGATGCAGCACCTCTTCGCAGCACCAGTGAAGCCGATCGGAAACGGTATCTACGGCACTGGGGAGCTCCAGCCCAGTATTCCATGTGCGGCCGAACTTGCGCCTTGTAAAGTTCCAGGCGGTGTGCTGGCATGAAACACTGTCCCGCTCCGCTGAGCACGCTAAGCTTTTTAGAGGCCAATGGCCTTCTTTTCCAAGTGACCACGAAACTGCACGTCACTCGATATGTCGACGCCGAAGATTCCGATACTGGCTGAGGCAACAAGGGGAGTGCTTTGAAACTCAGGAGATACTTGTGTCTTCAGAGGGTTAAACTAGACTAGATTTAGTCGCCCCCAATCCGAGACTGTTCAGCAAAGACTCGACTTCAGACACAAGTTTGTCCCGGTACTCGGATAAGTTTGGGAAACCCTGCCCTAGCCGTTGCCGTTACCGTGGAGGGTATCCATATGGATTTTGTACGTTAAAAAGGTGATTTCAATCTAAAACAATAATCTGTCCGATAAGAAGATAATTAATTAATAAGTATAATATTGGAATTGTTTTTGTTTTCTATAATGTGATTAACGTAATTTAATATAATAATGACGCTATCTGTATTGTTAAATAATTCTATTTCTTTTAATAATTCATATTTATCCAATGATGTAATTCAGTTTTTTTTTCTTATAATCCTTTTATTTACTAAATAATCATTGCATGTTATTATTATCATTTTTGGGGTATCTAAGTATATAATTTTCTCATCTGGTTGGGTTCTATAAATATATCTTTATTATTATGATTTGTAATGAAAATTATCTTTGTTATCTGCCGTGATTTCTGTTGGTAATCCTAATAAATAAATAAATAAGGATAATTTTTAAAGAAAAACGTTCAGAGGCAACAAAGCTTCTGTAGCCTTCATTTTTTTTGATGTTGATGAATGATGAAAATGAGAAAGCGTTGCGGATTTTCAAAATACTGGACAGTTCTAAATAAAAAACCACGAAGTTTTGTACTTTTAGACATCACATGATCGCGGAACGTACCTAAGTTTTTCATCAAACAGTATTCCAAGATCCTTAACTACGGATTTTCTATCCGGTACTTGTCCACTTATTTTGTAATCAAAAGTAAGTCAGTGTTTTTATTGCTAAATGATATGATGAAGCATTTTCTTGTATTCAGATGCATGCGGTTTTCTTTACACTAATTATAAATGAAGTCTAAATTCGACTGAAGATTTAACGAGCCGCTGAATCGTCGCTGTATCAATAACAGAAAAGAGCTTCAAATTATCTGCATACTTGGCTTGGACAAGTCAATTTATCATTAAGATCGTTAATAAATGTTATAAAAAATAAAAGACCTAAACTGGACCCTTGTGGCACATCCGATGTCGCAGAAGCGGGTGAGAATTTGAAACCTTTTATGGTAACTATAAAAGGTATTCAGTCCATTTCAAAAAACTTAATATATAAAATAAATAATTTAAAAAATCAAAAACCCGACTGCAAAAAAGACAATTTAAAATTAATGCACTAAAAAGATCGAAACAAGATTGAGAATACAAAACAAAATTAAAATAAAACATAAACAAAGTGAACTCTACTTCGGTTAACAGACTATATGAGCTGAAAACCTAAGTAAAATAGCCTAAGTTCAGTAGCAAGCGGAACTCATTAATTTTCTTTCGGTTTGTAATTTCAAATGAGTCCCGGCTGCTACTAAAATTAAATATTTTACTTATGCTATTTTACTTAGGTTTTCAGCTCATATCGTCTGTTAACCGAAGTAGAGTTTACTTTGTTTATATTTTATTTTAATTTTGTTTTATATTCACAATCTTGTTTCGATCTTTTTAGTGCATTAATTTTAAATTGTCTTTTTTGCAGTCGGGTTTTTGATTTTTTTTATTATTTATTTTATTTAAGACTTTTTTAGATTCCTAGCACTTTCTTATGAACAAAAACTGTGTTACTTATATAAGTCATTGAAAACGTAGAGATGATTGATAGTATGCCAAAAAAAAAAACGCACAAATGAAAATTTTTGAGAATATCAAATACTTCGTATACCTATATAAATACAAAAAGCTGAACAATAAACAGAAATAAAAAGTTTTAAGAAACCAATATGTATATACAGGATGTTAGTGTAAACACCGTTATCCTTGAAACCAATGGTTTGGTTTTACTTATAGAACGTAAATTCAATGAAAAATAACGAAATTTTTTTAGTAAAATCTCAATTTTTTCTTAAAATTATTTCACCCTATGCGCGTAGGCACAGTAAATTTCAGTAAAGAACACAGCAGCGTGCGGCTCGGCGGCGGAGGGCGGGCGGTGATCTTTACAGTGATAACGTCACTCGGGCGCATAGGGTATCCATGAGTTTACGGACGGTGTCGGACAGAAACTTTTTAAATTTTATGAAAGAAAATAGCGTTTGTTTTCTTTTAAATTCGGATAAATATTTTTATATTAAAGCCAGTTAGCTATGGTTTTAGTGACAACGGTGTTTACACTTAACACCTTATATATATATATATATATATATATATATATATATATATATATATATATGTATATATATATATATATATATATATATATATATATATATATATATATATATATATATATATTAGTTTTTATATGAAAACGCAACTAACTAAAAACAGAAAATCTTTTAAAGCAATCAAATCAATATATACAAATTTATAGGGAACAAATACTTAGGTATAATTATGTATTGTCACAATACACATATACCTGAAGTAAATGAACTATCGATCACACTTATATCAAATATATATTACTGCCTTACATACATCTAAAACAGAAGAATGTATCTAACTACTAAAAATACCCAAATTTACAAGATTTAAGAAACGCACTAGGATAGAACTCAGAAGTAAACTAGCGAACGACCAAGCACAGGCACACGTACGTATACGACCAAGTACAAACATCCAACGCAGACAAACTCAGAATAGATATTTTCCTATTTTATTTATAAGCATTAAGCATTTCCTTTTAATATATTATTATATACTTTATCCGATAAAGTTTATCGTTGAATATAATATATTGCTTGTGTTTTTTTTGCGCCCGAAGCAATTAACGGCAACCCTCCGGTAACGGGGGAGGGAGGTGGAGAATGCTCGTAGCATACCACGCAGCCGGCTGCATGGTTATGTGGAAACTTTTACCCACTAAACTCCACCTTTAGGGATTGGCTTACTGATCTAACGAGAGATCTTTAAGCTGTAAACGGACGCGACCCTCCTTGGCAAAAGGAGGGCGCAAGCGGCGAAAAGCTGCTTAGAAGTGTGTCTAACTAAGGCAGATTAAGGGCTGTGTTAAAAAGGCTCGGCCTGAGCCGCTAGGAGGCAGTTCAGGTCAGCCGAAAGCTTGTTGGGGGGTCCGAGAGAGAGTTTCTCGGTCTGCGCCTACTATAGCGAGTGTGAAGAGGGGCTGCATAGGCAGCTGTCTCACGAATGAGGCGATTTGAGTGGGACTCTGAGGCTTTGAAAAATCTCTCAGAGAGTGTTTCGAAGAACTGTTGAATTGTTGGGAGCTCTTAGCTCTCGGTGGAGGTCGGCATTACGGACATAATAGGGCGAGTTCGTGGCCCTACGACACAAGAGGTTTTGAACTATTTGAAGTTTATTTATAATGTTGGGTTTGGCATGTGCGAAAATGGGGGTCGCGTAGGTCATAACGGGTCGCATACAGACCTTATATAGGGTTCGCATGTTGCGGAGGGACATTTTACTGTGTCTGCCCAACATGCTGTTGAGCCTACCCATCTAAAATCGTGCGGTGCGAATAACTTTCTTGATATGGGGCTCGAAAGTGAGCCTTGCATCAAGGGTAGTGTTGCCCAAATGCAAGAACAAGACGAGTCTTAGCCAGTCTTGGTCTTGGTCTTACGCCAATACACCTGGTCTTGTTCTTGGTCTTGGTATTGCAGCAAGAGTCTCGCAAGTCTCGTAAGTCTCGCAATTACCTATTAGCCTATTGTTATTTATTAAACGTTACTTTAGATCTTAGAACAACTTAACAGAGTATGCACATTTTGAGCTTGAATTAACATAGCCATAGAAAGACCAACCAAATTAATAAATGTCTAAACATTTAATGAGAAATTCGAAAAATCAACTAATACCGGGTAGGGTTTGAACCCACGACCTAAGCAATCCGTGTCGATGCTCTAACCAACTGAGCTGTCTACCAAGTCTCACGGCCACGGGAGTTAGTCTGTTTCTTAATAAACGTTTACATTTAATAAGCTTACATGTGCTAAAACTTAGTCAAAACATATAAAAAACAAATTAATGACATTAACTTGACAGTATTATAAAGAACGTTATCTGTCTAGAAAGGGATTGATAGACCCTTATATGAAATGGAATAAAATAGTTATACAATTTACCATTTATTTAAATAAAAAAATAAAATACAATACAAATTAAATTACATAATAGTACACACCAGCATTGACATTACTGTTACTTTATATTAATTCTTTTGACCAAGAATTAATACAAAGTAACCATCTGGCTGACTCATCACTTAACCTATTTCTA